AAAAATGTGTGCATGTATGAAGAGAGAGGGAGAATGGAAGGCAGGCAGAGGAAGAGGAGGAGAGCATACATAAATATGGCAAAATATTAGTTGCTGAATTTAAGGCAAATATATTCTCTCAATTTTCTGTAATGTTTGAATATATGAATAACAGAAAGCCGGGAAGGATTATCCCAAAGGTCACCTCTAAACTGTCTAGATCAGGATGTAAAGGGGTCAGTTCATGAATGGAATCCTATGAGCTCCCACCCAACATTCTATGCAAAGGGACACATATAATCATGTTATGTGCACATGCACATCTTTCCAGGAAAAGGGTTGCCAATTTCCATCTAGGATTTAGTCTATAAACCCCAAAAGTGTTGGGCACCTGAGTGGCTCAGTCAGTTAAGTGTCCGACTCTTGGTTTCAGCTTGGGTCATCATCTCACACCTCATGAGTTCAAGCCCCACGTTGGGCTCTGTGCTGACAGCGTGGAGCCTGCTTAGGATTCTCTCCCTCTCCTTCTCCCTCTCTCTCTACCCCTCCCCTGCTCATGCTCTCTCTGTCCCTTTCAAAAATAAACAAACATTAAAATACACACACACACACACACACACACACACACACACACACACACACACACACACACACATAAAAAGAAAAATACCCAAGTAGGAAAACAGCTAGACTCTTATCTAACTCACTTGTAAAATAGTACTCCTTTTATTTTAAAAAGTTAGGAAGCAGCCTAAAATCCTGTATGATTAGAACTATCTCAAGATGTGAGGAGGCAGCTTCATCCTGGATGGTGTTTTACTCTACATGAAGTGCAGGAGGTTCTCCAGGAGAAAGGAAGACACACCCTCAGTTGGAGGAGGCAGAGCTTTAAACACCAACTCCCAATGTAAGAGCTCAGGACACTACATTACATATTGTCTTTTTTCATTAATAATTTTCAAACCAAGCAAGAGATATGAAAGAGTGACAAACATGGAGGAAGGAATTTTATTTTTCCATGTCTCAGTTCAAATGTGATTGATGGGGTACCCCATATATCTCTTCGCCCTTTTCAATTCTTACAAGGACCCTTGTTGCTTCAGTGGTCTGCAACCTTTCTGAGAGGTAGCAAGTGCAGCACTTTCCTGAGTGAAATCCCACCCATCAGGCCAAATACAGAACCGGTAAACGCAATCCTTCAGAGAGAGCTTGTGGACCAGGAGACCAAACACGGGCCTAAGTCATGCTCTGGTCCTACAGACAGGTCTACAGAGCCAAGCCCAAGTGTCTTAGCCTGGCTTCAAGCTGCAGTCCATGGGGCGCCTGGGTGGCTCGGTTGGTTAAGCATCCGACTTGAGCTCAGGTCTTGATCTCCTGGTTCATGAGTTCGAGCCCCATGTGGGGCTCTGTGCTGACACAGCTCAGAGCCTGGAACCTGCTTTGGATTCTGTCTCCCTCTCTCTCTCTGCCCCTCCCCCACTCATGTTTTCTTTCTCTCTCTCTTTCTCAAAAATAAACAAACATTAAAAAAAATTAAAACTGTAGCCCAGCTGCCCCCTTCATGCCCATGACACCATGCTGCCTGCTACACAGGTAACTTTGTCAGGACAGAGCACAGGATGTTTGTGGGTCTGTCTCATCTGGCCCCCACCATCTCAAAGGCAGGCGCCAAGTCTCACCCACCGTGTCCCCAGCATGTCTGGGTCCTGTGACTGTCACATTCCTTGTATGCTGTCTGTTAGGGATACTGGCAGACACAGCTCATCAGGGGACTATGACATGAGCCTCCCAGGTTCCACCCCTATAGGCAAGGGAAGAATGCAAAGCCAAGACTTCCACTTACATATTTTTAAGTACTTTCACATCTGTTCCCTCATTTGATCATTACAAAAGCCCTGGGAAACAGGCAGGAAATAATTCACCACCCCCCTACCCTGAACAGAGAAAGAGAGGTGCAGGGAGGGGTGTCTGTGCAAGGCTGCTGAGTGGGCTGCAGCAGGCTTCTTCAGCTGATTCCAGGAGCAGTAAAAACCTACAAAACCACAAGGGCACAATAAATTCAAGTGCTTCATACAGACACACACATATGCCTCTGGATAATTAGGAGACTGGTGGGGGGGGGGGCGTGGAAGAAATGTGTTGAAACTATTTCTTTGTAGCTCCCATAATAGTCATTTTGAGAAGAAAGAAAAAATATTGACCATTTTTATTTGAAAAAAAAAAAACGGAAGCAAGAAATGTTTAGTGATTAGTAGAGAGCAATTCAGTTAAAAAAAAAGAACGAAAAGAAATTAAGACTCAAAACTGAAAGTTATCGTTCCTTATTATACTAATGCTTGCTTTTATCAACATTAAACTAAAATCTCTGCTATGAAATGTCCTGGCACTTTATGGATTTTGCTGTATTTGGAAAACACAAGCTTTGTATTTACAAAGCTTTTCCCTTTTGCTGGAAGCCGAGCTATCCCAGCCTGAGTGGCAGGGCCCTGGCCGTGGACGGATTGGTGACTGCAGGGCAGCCCGCCGACAGTGAAGCTTCTTGTACTCCTGCTTTTAGGTAATTTGGCCTTATTAAAGTACCTGGGGTATTGTCTGTTGGGGAATTGCCCTCGGCAGGCCCCCTGGGAAAAGAACCATTAGGGAAGAAAATGAGGTTCCGCAAGAAATCGTGCGGCCTTACGTTTAGCCCTTGCCATCCCCTATGGAGACGCCTCTACTTACAGGAAGGACAGTCTCATGCATTTGCCAGCAAAGAGGGACTATAATGGAGAGACATATGGATTTGAAAGTCTCACTCCGGCAACTAAGGAGTGTATCTCTGGGCACAGGTGACTTCAACCCCTAGGCCCACCTGGCCCCCTGAGGCATTCCAGACGATGACTGAACCTAGTCGGTTAAGGTATAGAATGGTTCATTAATTCCTAGGTGCACTGTCTCTCTGAGAATGTATGAGGCATGGGTTTCTAAGGCTTTTTCGGCCCCTTTCTGGCACCTCGGACCGAGGCAAACACATTGTTCTGGCCTCATGTGGTTAGGAGGTCATGTCCCTGTAACTGTTCCACTTGAGGTGTTGAGAAATGGAGGGCCTTTCACGAGAACAGCAAAGCAAATGCTTTGTAGATTATAGATAAACACAGATGCATAATGGAATAATGTAAGAAATTAATCAATAATCAAAGGGTATGCGGGAAAATTAGGGGGAAATCGCCATGTTATTTCTTAAAGGTTGATTACACATAGGAACATTTTCAAAGTTAGGTAATGTTAGAAAAACATAGAGGACATATGCCACAGGGAAATCACTAGCAAATATAATGCCAAGTTTGCTACAATAAATCGGCCAGTTCAACACACTGCTGTTGTCTGTGTCCATTTTTATTTTTTGTTTTTATTTTAGTTTTATTTTCACCGATGCCGTTCTTCCTTCGGGAACCCCTGGTTGCTGGAGCTGACCTCCGGCACCATTTGTAAAAAATAAATTATTATTATTTTCTATTTAAAAATGAATTATCAGAGGTGCCTCACTGTCTCAGTCAGTTAAGTGTCTGTTCTTGATTTCGGCTCAGGTCAGGATCTCACATCGGGCTCTGTCCTGACAGTGCAGAGCCTGCTTGGGATCCTCCCTCTTCTCTCTCTTTGCCCCTTTCCCACTCGTGTGCACGTACATGCCCTCACTCTCAAAATGAAATAAACGTTAAAAAAAATGAATTATCAATATATAATTTTATTAGGTTATTCTATATTATTTTATCACAAAAGTAAAACAGATATATTAAAGAAAATTTTAAAATGGGTTTTAAAACGAATTTTAGAAAATGACCCCAAAGCTCATCACTATAAAACAACCTACCTGTGACATTTTGTTTCCTTTCAGGTCTTTTAAGTAAATGGATGGGTTTCTTTTGGTTGTTTAATGACGTGATAATCTTATACCACATACACCATTTCATATCCTGATTTTTCCCCTCAACATTATATCCTAAGAACTGTTCCAGATTATTACACTGTCTTTGTAACCACAATCCATAATTTCCTGAACTTAAACTGTATAATCCTTTAAGTGGTAATACCACAGTTTACTTACCCAGTCTATTTTTAGACAAGTAGGCTGTTGCCAAATTTTTACTATCACAAATAATGTTTTAATGACTGTAACTTTTATTTTCTTCCTTTTTGTTTTTAGATAAATTCCTAAAGTATATTACCAGGTCAAAGTGGACAATAATTTTTTTAGACTTCTGACATATTCTGCCAAATTCCTTCCCTAAAGGTAATAGACATTATTACCAGCAATGGTAAGAATCCTTTAACTGAACTCTTATCATTAACCAGGAAATCACCTGTACCATTTTATTATTTTTTTTGCTAATAAGTGAAACTATTTCCTGTTATTTTGCATTTTTTTTTCCTGAAAATGTATATTTTTCCACCATATGATTACTGACTAGTTGAACTTCTTTTGTGAATCATTATGCCCATTATCCATTTACCAACTGGCTATTTACACAGATTTAAAAGTACATCTGGGGGCGCCTGGTTGGCTCAGTTTGTTAAACGTCAACTTCAGCTCAGGTCATGAGCTCATGCTTTGTGAGTTTGCGCCCCGCGTTGGGCTCTCTGCTGACAGCTTGGAGCTTGGAGCCTGCTTCAGATTCTGTGTCTCCCTCTCTTTCTCTGCCCCTCCCCTGCTCTTGCTCTCTCTCCCTCCCTCTCTCAAGAATAAATAAAAACGTTAAAAAAAAAAAGTACATCTGTATGAATATTTTCCATAATTAAAATGTTAACTCAGTGTTTACCATTTGGTGGGAAATATTATTTCTCCCATCTATGGTTCACTTAAAGTTTTAATTTTTACCTGGACATATTCACTGTTGTTTACCTTCGTGATTCTTTAAGAGGCTTCTGAGTCAGCTTCCCCCTCCCCATTCCCTTCCCTATATGACTGTATGCAATCAATTCATTTCCTCCTCAGCTCACATGGTTTTAACGTTCCTTACACACCCATAATCAAGAGGCTTTACCTGTTGGTCATCAGGAGTCCATATGCCACATGTGATCTGACTCTCCAGGTTTATCTCAGATGACCAGTGTCTTTGTCCGCTGACAGAACCAACCAGGACAAACCCATCTCGATATGAAATAAGTGCTTGAGTTCCATCGTGGCTCCATGTGAAATCACTCACCTTTGAGACACACATAGACACAAGATGTCAATTAATCTGAAAGGGAAAGCACTTTTAGCAAAGGCTATAGTCATTAACTTAGACTTTGGCTAAGAGTTAGATGGTCTTAAAGAGAACAGTGCATAAATACATCATATGTACTGTAACACTAACATATAACACAAAAGACCTCATTTGAAAAGCAAGTGTCAGTGAAGAGCTAAGTGTTTCACACATGTTAATTCTTCAAGCTTTGTTCATGGGAGGGATTATCATGCCCATTTTCCAGAGAAAACAGACACAGAGGGGATAGGTAACTTATCCTTGATCATACACAAGGTGAATGGCAGTGTTAAGGATGACCCAGGGTTGTATGGATCCAGTGTCTTTGCTTTTTACCATTGTTCTATGGTCTCCCACCTATGGTAACAGATTTGCCATTAGTGTCTCTGGGTCACCTATCAAAATAGGAAAGTTCTCAGTTTTTGGTTATATACCATCCTCAGCCTTGCTAATAATATTCCCTTAATCAAAATGAAAAAATAACTTAGGGGTGCCTGGGTGGCTCAGTCAGCTGAGCATCTGACTCTTGATTTTGCCTCAGGTCACGATCCCAGGGTCATGGGATCAAACCCTGTATCGGACTCCACGCTGAGCGTGGATCTGCTTAAGATTCTCTCTCTTTCCCTCTACCCCTCTCCCTTGCTCATGCTCTCTAGAGACTCTCTCTAAAGTAAAAAAATAATGATAATTTAACTGGAAAAATTACACATACTTGGGTGTTGTTTGATGCGTTCATTGTATTTATTCAAATAAGCCCATTTAAAAAATCTTTTAATCTATTAATGAAGTAAATTGCTTCTACTGACTTCCTCAAATTATACTACCCTTGCATGCCTACAACTAGCCCAACCTGGAGATGAAGTATTGTCTTTGATACACACAGTTGAAGTTGATTTACTGATGAGTTCAGAATTTCTACAGCTGTATTCATGAGTGAAACAAACTTATGATTTCCTTTTCATAATGTCTTTGTATCTGGATTTCTCAAAGTTATGTTGATCTCTCAAAATGAGTTGGACAGTAAGTACTCCTTCCTTTTCCACTGCCTGGAACAATTTATATAAACTGGGATAACCTATTGCATGAAAGTTGGGTATAACATGCCTATGCATCTCAATTTTTTTGTGGGAAGATTTTTAACCATTGCTTCAATGTACTCAGTAGTTTTAGTACAAGTCAAGCTGTTAAGCCTTTTATTTCCTCTTGAGTCAGTTCTATTGAATTACTAAAAAAAATTTTTCCAGTTCATGTAAGTTTTCCAAATTGTTGGCAAGTAGCTGCTGATAGTATTTATTATCTTTTTAAAAATCAACTTCATTGAGCTATAATTTGTATACATTAAATAAAGTTCTCAGCAGTCAATCTCCTGTGCTCATCCTTGGTTCAAGGCAACCAGTGATCTAATTTCTCTCACTAGTTGCTTCTTCTTGAATTTTACATGAAGGGAACTGTATAGTATGCTCACTTTTGTGTATGGCTGCCTTTACTCAGTACAATAGTTTAAGAGTATTCTAAATCCTTGTGTGCATCGGCAGTTCATTCCTTTTCATGAAGAGTAGTATTTCATTATATAAATATACCACAACTTATTTATCCACCCAAATTGCCAGGCATTTAGCTTGCTTCCAGCATTTGGCTACTATAAAACTGCTATGAACATGCATGTGTAAGACCTTTGGTAGATGCGTGGTTTCATTTCTCCTGAGTGAATACCTGAGAGTGGAATTAACTGCTAGATCATATGGTAAGCATGTTTAAATGCATAAGAAATTACTAAATTATTTTCCAAAGTGGTTATGCCATTTTACACTCCCTGCAACAGTGTATGAGAGCATTAGTAGGTTCGCTCCTCACCAGCACATGGTGTTGTCAGTCTCTTTTGTTTTAGCTATTCTAGTAAGTATGCAGTGGTAGGACACTATTCCTAATTTGCATTTCTCCAATGTAGTCATGGTGAGTATCATTTCATGTTCTTATTGATCATTTGCACATCATCTTTAGGGACATGTCTGTTCAAATTCCTTGCTATGTGTACGTATTCCCCATCCACTCATACATATGTGCTATGTGTATGTATGAATACTCACATAGATGTATACAATATGTCTACATACATATGGATATATATAAGCTTCCAACCTTATTTTGTTATAAAAATTCTATATACAATCCTTTATAAGATATGTGTGCTGAAAATAATTTCTCTTACTCTGTGGCTTGCCTTTTCATTTGCTTAATGGTATCTTTCAAAAAGTGAAAATCTTAAATTTTGATGAAGTCCAGTGTCAATTTTTTTTTTTCTTTCATGGTTCATGCTTTTTGTGTCCAATCCATTGAATCTTTACTTAATCCAAGGTTTCAAACCCAAGGTTTACAGAGAAGTTTAGTTTTTACATTTATATCTGTGATTTACTTACAGTTAATTTTTAGGTAGAGTATGAGGTCAGAATCAAGGTGGTTTTTTGTTTTGTTTTGTTTTGTTTTTGTTTTTAAATACAGATACGCAATTGTTTCAGCACCATTTGTGAAAAAGAAAATTCCCCAGATGTTACCTAGACTTACTGCGGTGATCCTTTCACAATACAGTTGACCTTTGAACAACTAAGAGCTTAGGGGTTGCTGATGCCCTGCAAAGCTGAAAATCCATGTGTAACTTTGACTTCCCCCAAACTTAACTACTAATAGCTTACTATTGACCAGAAGCCTTATCAATAGCAAAAGCAGTCAATTAATACATATTTTGTATGTTTTACCTATTATATACTGTATTTTTGCAATCTAGTGAGCTAGAGAAAATGTTATTAACCAAATCATAAGGAACAGAAAATACATTTAAAGTACCATATATTTTTTTCTTTTTAAAGTTTTTATTTAAATTCCAATTAGTTTACATACAGTGTAATATTAGTTTCCAGTGTAGAATTTAGTGATTCATGTAGATTCTGGTGTAGAATAAGTGATTCACTTATATACAACACCCAGTGCTTATTACAACAAGTGCCCTCTGTAATACCCATCACCAATTTAACCCATCTCCTTTCCCACCTCCCCTCCAGCAACCCTCAGTTTGTTCTCTATAGTTAAGAGTCTGTTTTCAGGTTTGCCTCTCTTTTTTATTCCCCCTATTCCATCGTTTTGTTTCTTAAATTCCACATATGATTAAAATCATATGGTATTTGTCTTTCTTTGATGGATTTATTTCACTTAGCACAATGTACTCTAGTTCCATCTATGTTTTTGCAAATGGTAATGGTAAATGAGTAGTATTCCACTGTGTGTGTGGAATATATACACACACACACACACACACACACACACATATATACATATACATATACATATATATATATGTATGTATATTATACATATGTATATATACACACACACACTCCACATCTTCTTTATTCATTCACCATGCAACGGACATTTGGGCTCTTTCCATAATTTGGCTATTGTTGATAGTGCTGCTATAAACATTGGGGTGTACGTATCCCTTTTAATCAGTATTTTTGTATCCTTTAGGCAAATACCTACTCGTGCAATTGCTGGACTGTAGGGTAGACCTATTTGTAACTTTAAAAAAATTTTTTTAACGTTTATTCACTTTTGAGAGACAGAGAGAGACAGAGCATGAGTGGAGGAGGCGCAGATAGAGCGAGACACAGAATCTGAAGCAGGCTCCAGGCTCTGAGCTGTCAGCACAGAGCCTGACGTAGGGTTCAAACCCATGAACCATGAGATTGTGACCTGACCTGAAGTCAGACATTTAACCGAGCCACCCAGGCACCCCTATTTTTAACTTTCTGAGGAATCTTCACACTGTTTTCCAGACTGGCCTCACCAGTTTACATTCCATCCAAGAGTGTAGGAAGGTTCCCCTTTATCCACATCCTCACCAACACCTGTTGTTTTCTGTATTGTTAATTTTAGCCATTCTGACAGGTGTGAAGTGATATCTCATTGTAGTTTTGGTTTGCTTTTCTGATAATAAGTGATGTTGAGCATCTTTTCATGTGTCTGTTAGCCATCTGGATGTCTTCTTTGGAGAAGTGTCTATTCATGTCTTTTGCCCATTTCTTCACTGGATTATTTGTTTTTTGGGTGTTGAGTTTGATAAGTTCTTTATTTATATTTTGGATACTAACCCTTAATCAGATGTCATTTGCAAATATATTCACCCATTCTGAAGACTTTTAGTTTTGTTGATCATTTCCTTCACTGTGCAGAAGCTTTTTATCTTGATGAAGTCCCAACAGTTCACTTTTGCTTCTGCTTCCCTTGCCTCTGGTGATATGTCTAGTAAGGAGTTGCCCCAGCCAAGGTCAAAGGGGTTCTCCTCTAGGATTTTGATGTCTTCCTGTCTCACAGTTAGGTCTTTCATCTATTTTGGGTTTATTTTTGTGTATGGTGTAAGAAAGTGGTCCAGTTTCATTCTTCTGCATGTAGCTGCCCAGTTTTCCCAGCACCATTTGTTGAAGAGACTGTCTTTTCTCCACTGGATAGTCTTTCTTCTTCATCAAAGATTAGTTGACCATATAGTTACAGGTTCATTTCTGGGTTTTCTACTCTGTTCCATTGATCAATGTATGTTTTTATGCCAGAACCATACTGCCTTGATGACTACAGTTTTGAAGTGATGCCTCTGGCTTTTCTTTTCTCTTTCAAGATTGCTTTGCTATGTGGTTCCACACCAGTTTTAGGATGGTTTGTTCTAGCTCTGTGAAAAATGGTTGTGGTATTTTGCTAGGGATTGCATTAAATGTGTAGAATGCATTGGGTAGTACAGACATTTTAACAATATTTGTTCTTCCAATTCATGAGCATGGAAAGTTTTTCCATTTCTTTCTATCATCTTCACTTTCTTTCATCAGTGTTTTATAATTTTTCAGAGTATAGATCTTTTTGCCTCTTTAGTTAGATTTATTCCTAGTTATATTAGGTTTTTGCTGCAATTGTAA